TCCACCCATCAAAGTTTAGAGAGTATAGTCATGTAATGTGATTAATAGCAATGATGGAAACATGTTAATCAACCTTTTTATTGAATCAATCAACTAATCTGGATCAAAACATACCATCCATTGAAGCTTCCTATAATTTTCTGTATCACCATATCAACCAAAGTATTTGATATCAAAGTAACGAGGAATGAATGTTGAAAAAAAAGCAGAGAAAGCAAGGTTCCCTGGGTTAACCATGCTGGACCCTTGCTTGCTTGCCAAATTGATAGAATGACCCTGAATCCCATTCTGCATGAACAGACAGTTGAGAGTCAAGATCTGTGTTAACAGGTAAACAATCAACAGTTACACCATGATTCGATAAAAAAATTAGTAAAGAAGAGGGAAGGAAAGGGAGGGAAGGAAAGAGAGGGAAATGATGGAAGAATAATAAATTTGTAGTAATCATGTTTGGATAGATTAATAAAAAAAAAAAAAAGAATGAAGGGGGATATTATTATTTTTATTTAATTAAATAAATTAAAGAAAAATAATTATAAAATTAATTAAAATTTTATAAATTTATATATTAAGATTAAAGTTAAAATATAAACTTTAAATATATTTTTGAAAAAAATGGTAATAAAAGAAAATAAAAATAAATTTAATTCTTTTGAATCTTTTTAAATTGAAGAAATGAAAAATAAAGAATTTAAAAATCACCTATTGCCCTTATATCTCTCTCTCATTCCCCTTAATGATGTTATCTAAACAATACAAAAGAGATATCTCCATTACTCTCCTTCTCTCCCCTCTCAACTCTTTCAATACAAATATAGACTTATTGATTAACAGATTCAATGGTAATTGACGAAAATAATTACTGATTCATTTTATTTATGACAACATGTTATGTATCTTGTATTTTTAAAAAATATATACTTTATTACGGCACATGAATATATTTAAAATTTTTTACAATATATAATTTTAATGAAAAAGTAAATAACAGCATGTACTATAAAAAAATTAAGTAAAACAATGTAAAATTAATTTTTTTTAATAAAATTTTATTAAAAAAATCTTAATTTCTAAAATTTTTCAGAGTAGAAATAAAGCTATTTTTTCCTTGGTAAGTTTAAGCCAGACTAGATTCCAAGGGAGAACCACCATCATATACAGTTACATTCGAAACAAAATGAATACTTTTTTCTGTAACTAAAAGACTGAGTCCCTAATACATATTTCAGGTTCGAATCTCTCTCTTCCTTGTGGTACATATTTACTGTAGTAAATTGTACAATGCAAGTTCGACGTTTGAAGTTTCAGCGAGCTTCCATAACTGACACTGTTACCTCATTTACAGAGCACTTCTCGCAGCTGCCAAGAGAAGTGTCTGAATTTCCCACACTTCTCACATTTGAGAAAGCTGGTTCTTTTGGGGACTGTAAATTGGCGCGTTCCTTATTCTGCAGCATCAAACCAACATCAGTCATGGTCGGCCTGTCAGTTGCACATTCTTGAACGCAAAGAAGGCCGATTTGGATGTATATCAATTGTTGATCGTCAGACGAAACGTCTCGTAGCCCAGGATCCATCAGTTCCAGAGGCCTATGACTTGTCCAAAGATCCCATGCCTGCAGATAAGAGAATGGATGAAGGAAAAGAAACAGTAAATTTTACGTATCTTATCCCCATGTTCAATTACAAAGGCAGAACTCAGAGTAATTGTTAAGTGTATCAAGGGCAACCATAATCCATTTAAAACTGAAACTTGAGTGAATATTACTATTTAATTGTTAATTATTTCATTTATTTTGGTAAGAAACATGCTGCATAAATGGTGGAAAAGAAAATT